GCTCGCCAACGGGTGCCCACATGTCCGAAACCATCGATGCGCTCGTCTCACGAGGCTTTCGCGATGCTGGATACAAATTCTTCCAAATCGACTGCGGCTGGCAATCCCTCAACGGGACGCGGGGCTCCATCAATTCCTTTGGCGCCATCGATTACGACCAGCAAAATTTTCCGCAAGGCATCCGTCCCATTTCTGACAAAGCTCGTCAGAATGGCTTCACCTTCTCCATGTACTCTGATGCGGGAGTGAGGTCCTGCGATAGCATCGTACCTAGCAAGCGTCTGGGAAGTTATGGCCATGAAGCCGCAGACGCCAAGCAATTCGCTGACTGGAACGTCGAGTATGTCAAATGTGAGTTCAGGCACACCTCTGCAGAGCCTGCTCATATCCACCACCGTGTATGCCCACCTGACACGATCTGCTATCGACGATCTAGACGACTACTGCTATCCCGACTCTCCCGACCCTTCCAACAATGCACCCAAGGATCCCCGCACCGACTTCGTCGATCGGTACCGAACCATGTGGAACGCGCTGCAAACCAACAAGATCTATCGAATGCTAGTGTGTCAATGGGGAACCCCGTTCCGCTCTTCTTCGGGAAATTTGCAAGGTCCATCTCAATGGACCGATCCCGTCTCCACCTCTTTTCGCCTGTCGGACGACATCAACAAAGACTGGGCCGCAGTGACTCGAATCATCAATCAGTCCATCCACATTGCCAATTCTGGCATCACGGGCAAGGGTCACTTTGCGGATGCCGATATGTTGGAAGTGGGCGCAAAGGAACTAACGATTGATGAGCAAGCTTCTCACTTTGCTTATTGGGCAATGGCAAAGTCTGCGTTGATGATCGGCAGCAACGTCGCTAGCATGCCTGATGCTTCTCTGCGCATCCTGCAGAACAAAGCCCTGATCGCCATCAATCAAGATGCTCTAGCAAAGCCCGTCAAGCTGGTACAACGATGGACTGGCGATCGCGACCTGTTCAGAGGTCCACTGCAGAATGGGGACGAAGCGGTGCTGCTAATCAACTTGCGCAATCAAGCCAGAAACGATCTGAGCATCGACTTGGCCAAATCTCTCGGTATTCAAAGCGCCACCATCGAGAATTTGTGGACCGGTCAAAAGAAGACGGGCGCGATGGGAGTATACTCGGTCGGTAGTTTGGGCGCTCGAGGATCTGCGCCTCTTCGACTGAGCAACATTCAGCGCATAGCCACACCCAACGTCGAGGTGATCTGGAGCGAAGCTGAGTCTGCCTCGTTGAGCGGCGGCGCAAGCTCGGCTTCGTGCTCCGGCTGCTCTGGAGGTACAAAGGTAGGCAATGTAGGTAATGGAGGCGCAGTGACTTTCAACAACGTCGTAGCAAAGAGCACCACCTCTACGCTCCTCTTCGACTACATCAATGCCGACATTGGTTATTTGGCAGGTCAAGGTCAAAATGCTAGGAGCTTATCCATCTCCGTCAATGGTGCAGCGGCACAAAACATCGATCTGCCCATCAGCGGATACGATTGGAGCGCTGATGTGGCCAAGAATTTCAGAGTGGAATTAAAAGGTTTCAAGCAGGGCAACGGCAACACCCTGACACTATCCAATCCTTCCAGCTTTGGCCCGGATATCGATAGGGTGGGCGTCATACAAGCCTAAGCTTCGTTCGTTGCGCAATCACGTGAATGTGCAATCCGATCCAATTTACAATCGACGCATCGCCTCGCTCTTGAATTTTCCTTGGGCGCGTCTCCCTCCCGGAAGCGCTTTTTCTTTTCTCGTTCATTGCAAGCGCGATGCTTGAGACTT